AATTTGGAGAAGGCAATAATCTCACTTCCTTGGTATCTCAATGGTTTTTTCCCCTCTGGTCAGGAGTTCTTTATTGTTTTATTCTCTATTAATATCTATCTTAGAATTCTTCCTCCTCCTTTTCTCTTGAACTCTAAAAATACAGATGTTCTAGCAGTTTGCTCTACTTCCCATTCTCACCCTCCATACTGTTAACATATCACTAAATCTAACACATTTTAAGGGTACACTTAAATGATTTTAATAAACATACAGTTGGGCAACTATGAGCACTCAAAAAGCTCCCTCCTGCTCCTGAGCAATCAGTTCCCACTTCTACTCCCAGGTAACTACTCATTTGTTGTCCCTTCAGATTTCTTTTCTAGAAATTCATAAATGGGTATATGGGCTTTCATAAATATGGCTTTTTTTCTTAGCATAATGTTTGAGGGTCATTCCTATTAAGATATCTTATCAATAGGGACGCCTGGGTGGCTCAGTTGGTTGGACAACTGCCTTCGGCTCAGGTCATGATCCCGGAGTTCCGGGATCGAGTCCCACATCAGGCTCCCAGCTCCACGGGGAGTCTGCTTCTCTCTCTGACCGTCTCCTCGCTCATGCTCTGTCTCACTATCTCTCTCTCAAATAAATAAATAAAATCTTTAAAAGAAAAAAAAAAAGATATCTTATCAATAAACCACTCCTTTCTATTGCTGTATAGAGGTATTATTCTTTACCAAAATGATGGCCTGTAACAGGAGAAAATAAAGACATTCCTATTTTGAAAAAACATGTAACATAGTAGGACTTTCAAGACCACTGGCTGCCTAAAGAAAGGACTATCAAGACCTATAGCACTAACAAAGATCACAAAACTGAAAACTGTAAGCAAATTTAACATGAACTTTTATAAGGAATCTTGAACTATATTTACCTGAAGAAAAAAATGAAATAACCATATTGCTTTCTCTACTTTTAAGATAATCAGAGTAAGCCAAGTAGTTATATAAATTTTTAACTATCCTTGTCTTCTCATTTTTAAGATTCTTTTTGTACTGCTAGTGTTGAAAAGCTATTTTAAACACCTTAATGCATAATTAATCACCCCACATGCTATCAGATTTAGTAGTAGTTTTAGAAATAAACCAAATTTATATATGCAAGGTAAGCCTAATTATTTAGGCTCACAAAAAATGTAATATCTGATCTTCAGAACCTAATGTGCTCAAGAAAGTATTTGTGCTTTTAAATTAGGAGAACAGCTCTGTATTTAATTAGTCCTCATTTGAGTATGTAATCATTTTAATTTATTTGCACAAACACAGGACACTGTGCTCCATCAGTAGATAATGTTCTTCATTAACTAAAGTAGGAACTTGGTGCACAGGGGTAGAAGTATTCTTATCTTGATGTAAAAATCCTAACTCCATACTACTAGCTTTCTTTCTTCAGTTTGCATAGTCACTGTCCTGAGATATACATTTGTTAATATAAAACACTTTTAGTTAAGTACTCTGCTAGTCCCTAGAAATAATTTAATATTTAATGTTTTATATTACCTACTGCCCAGATATGAATACTCAGTTATTAATGAACAAATCAGCTTACTGAAATTCAGGTAATAGTTATGTATTAAAATTCAAACTTCAGTAATTTGGATGGTGGCAGAGTAGAGTTAAAAATCCATTATTTCTTCATTGGTGGTGTACAATAATAATAATAGCACAGATTGTACAGGCTTTACTCAGGCTGTTTGGAAATAAACTCCGTATTCTTAACAAGCTAATGATAGATCATTCTTATCTATTCATAAAAGTACACAATCCAATTTTTCCTTACGGGATTCACAAATAGCCTTGGTATCTTGTTATTGCCATTCCTTCCCCAAGTCCTAAATACATCCTAAGAAGAAAATCAAATCTCCCGTTAATTATTTAAGTCTTTGAAAAAGTACTTTGTTTTTGCCTAACTCTGAATGTTTTATTCTTAAGCTTCCTATTTTGAAACAAGTATATCCTTAGATGAAATTGCTTAAGAAATCATTTAAGCTTTCATTTCCAAATAAATTGGAACGTATAAAAATTGAGATCATGGGGCATCTGGGTGGCTCAGTCAGTTAGGTGGCTGCCTTCAGCTCGGGTCATGATCCTGGGATCCTGGGATCGAGCCCCCAGTCGGACTCTCTGCTCAGTGAGGAGCCTGCTTCTCTCTCTCCCTCGGCCTGCCACTCTGCCTACTTGTACTCTGTCAAATAAATAAATAAACAAATAATCTTAAAAAAAAATTGAGATCATTTGGTAACCAGTACTTAGAATTTTACATGATATCACAAAATGAATCAGCAGATAGTTTGTGAGGACAGATTTAGCTTGGAGCATTATTTTTAGGTAGAAGCTTGCTCTAGCTAGAGTTTTGAAAACCCAGTGCTATTCTTTGGTACTCTTCATGCTATGATCTGTACCATTCTATATTTCTTGCAAAACTTTTGGAAATACTTTATGAAAGCCTAAACACCTTGGCATATATGTACATACATACGTGTGTGTATATGTATATATGTATTATACATATACACATATTATACATATACACACACGTATGTATAAATAAATAAAATTTCTCCTACAGGGCAAGTTAAGCAAATTGTCTGAGTCATTACATTAGCTCTGCTCTATATGACAGCAAGCAGATCTCCAAATGTGGTCCTGACTTCCTACAACTTTCCATAATTACTAGGTCAGAGTACTCTACTGGGTAAGATTTCAATTTCTATAGTTCACCCTTTGCCCAAAGTTCTAAATTCTTCTATTTACAAGGAAAAAAATGTCTAATTTCAGAAAGTTTCCTTTTTTATAGGTAATGAATACTACAAAAATAATTGTATAATTTGAGTTTCAGAGGTAATCATCCTACTTAGATTTGGAGTATATTTGAGTTGAGCAATGCCCATTAAGGTTACAAATAAACTTGGAAAGTGTCAAATGCACAGTACTTAAATTCTACCCAAAAATAGGTCATTAGATACATTTTTTAAAATTCTCTTTGATTGGATGCCTAGTATGTGCCAACAGTTAGCTTTTTAAGATTTAGAGAATTTTGCACTATTTTTATAACAATATCTGGAGAAAGAATGCCCATTCCTACAAGCCTAGTTACATAGCTCTTGAAAGCACCCACTGGTAAACATGCTAACATGACATGGTATTAAAAATCATAAAACGGGGCACCTGGGTGCCTCAGTCAGGTAAGTGTCTGCCTTCGGCTCAGGTCATGATCCCGGAGTCCTGGGATCGAGTCCCATGTTGGGCTCCCTGCTCAGCGGACAGTCTACTTCTCTGCCCATCCCCAGCTGGTGCTTTCTCAATCTCTCTCTCTCTCACTCACTCTGTCTCTAATAAAAATATTTTTTTAAAAAGTCATAAAATACACATTTATGCCATACATAAAAGCAACTATCTGTCCTTGGCATAAAGGCATACATAAATAAATAACACTGTAGCTTGACTGAGAGATCCTGAAAATCCATTCATAGTGAGTTTGTTACTCAGAGACAATCACTAAGTCAGCTTGTAGCTATACTGACTTATCTCTCATATTTAATGTTACATGTATGTTTTGGGTACAAAATGGACCCTAGCTAGATGCTCTTCCTGGAACTTCATTGAGGAAATAAAAATCTACTACAATGCCAGAGAAAAAAGTCAGCATATATAACTTTTTGAAATAAGTTTTTCAGCTTTTAAAGTATGCATAAATATGGCTATATACATTGTATTTTTTAAAAAATATTTTATTTATTTATTTGACAGAGAGAGATCACAAGTAGGCAGAGCAGCAGGCGGGGGTGGGGGGGGAAGCAGGCTCCCTGCTGAGCAGAGAGCCTGATGTGGAGCTCCATCTCAAGACCCTTAGATCTCGACCTGAACTGAAGGCAGAGGCTTAACCCACTGAGCCACCCAGGTGCCCATAAGAAAACTTTAAGAAGGGAGACTTTGGCTATACATGACTCTTCAGATATCAAGCAAACTCTAAAACTAACCTCTTGCATTAAATGCAACTCCACTATATAGCTGTTTTTGATAGAGTAACTGTTTATATAAGATGGTTTTGTACCTAATCACTTTGGAGTTAAATAAGACAAATAACAACAAAAATCTCTCAACATTGATTTAAATTAAAAATTATCATCTTGGGGGTAGGAGAAGCAAAAAATAAGAAAACAATTTGGGGATCTGACTGAAGATTAATGGTCTGAGATTATTCAACAGTGAGAAAATTTAATTCCCAAAGCATCATCTACCCTGTTCATTAGGAAAAATTGGATATTAACAGAAGGCACTCATTATATCTGCCTTAACAAGAGCAGTATTTATAAAACTGAACTGAAAGAGGCAAAAAAGATACTATCCATGGATTACAGTAAGAAATATTCTATAACACTTTGGTAAGTTTGAAAACCCAGCCAGAAATGAATTATTACTGAGAGTATTCCTAGATTAAGTATTAATGAAGAAAAACGAATTTACATGATTCCAGAGATTAGAAATCATGATCTTACAAGAAATGTGTTTTATTAACGTAACCTCCTTTTTTGATTGAACACTACCTTTTAAAAACCAACAATAAACATCAGTTTGTTTTTTTAATTAGTCTAAAAGTCATCCCCCCCAAAAAGAGGGCAATATTTTCCTCCCCACAGGCCACCTTTCTCATAAGTGTAACTGAGCTTGTCCAAAATCAGAGGCAGTTTTTTCAGAAAAAGCCAATGATCAAAATACAAGATACAGCATTTTCCCACAGATTCTCTGACAAGAGAGCATGACATTAGCCAAATAAATTTAATACAAGGAAATAATGTTGTAACTCAAATTGCTTTTCACTTAATCCCTTTTTTTTTTCTAATTTTATACTAAAAAATTTCTGTTCTTAAAACTCAGGCTAAATCAGGAATACAAGTTAAAACCAGGAACTAGTTAAAGAAAATGCGATACCAAAAACAGTAAAAATCAACTCAACAGCAGTTAAAATTGGGCAAATTTTAATTACTAAGCATCAAATGCATTTTACATTGGTAACTGCAGTACTGAAATTGTGACATTTTAAATATTTTTTTCAAAAAAGGCTAGTGATTTTCTAGGAAATATGAAGATCCAACTATGAACATAAATGTAGCCAGTCTGGGTCACTACAATTTAGTTAATGCTTATCTTAATAGGTGTTCACATTTCCTGTCTACAATAAAGTAGACTATGAACTTCTTGTCTCTTTGAATTTTAGCAAAAACTCCATGAGATAATTTAAAGGAATGTCAAATTTTGGAAGTGCAAACTTATAAAATTCTACTTTGGGATCACTTTTTTGCTCTAAGTGCATCTAACTTGAGAATATAAGCAATATTTCCTTCCTAATCCCTTGGAAAAATATTTCTGCAATACGTCTCGTGTCTTCTTAACTATGACTGGGTTGTTTCTAAGAAAGATTATTAGTTACGTGGTTAGTTTCCCACAGTTGATAAAAATCTATTAAAAACATCTTAATATAATTTGCAAGGAAAAAAATTTGTTTTTCAAAGGTTGCAGGAACAGGAGAGAAACAGCACTTCTTAATCTTATCTGTATAAGCACAAATACTTAAAGCTAGTCATACTGCAGATAAATCCAACATAGTATTCAAAAGTTCTATAAAAATGAACAAAAGATACATATTTACTTCCATTGCTCCAACAGTCAAATGTTAGGTCTGCATGAGAGTTGCACTGTAGCAGTTCGCTGGTCCAATTTAAGAGTTCAAGTCCTTTTTGGCCCAATGATGTCCACATGCCAGATAAATTCAGTTCAAAAAACAGAAATCAGGGCAAAAACTCCATATAACAAAGCACAAGGATATGCTACCAGAAGTTGCTGTCCTTCCATGGCTAATGCAGAAATAAAAATTTTGGATGCAGAAAAACTACACCATCCAATAATTCCAGCAGTGAGAATGATTCCTACCATTCCTCTGTAACCGACAAGGAGAAACAGGGGTAGGAGGGAAAAAGGCAGTAGATGAGATTAGTTATGTAAGAATACAACAATAACCAATTCTTTAAAAAAAAAAAGCATTTTAAATCCACATTGCACAAATCCGCAGAAATGATTGAGATTTTTTTTCAAATGTTAAAATAATGTACCTCACAGTGAATTTAATAATGCTCAATTATTCACATCCACATTCAATGAGGTGAGAACAAGCTCATTTATAATTACATTTTGCTCCTGTTAGCATAAGAGCTAGATTTCTCAACTTTGGCATTACTGACACCTGGATGGATGCACTTTTGTTGGGAAGGGCTGTTCACTGTTAGGCTGTTTAGCAGAATCCTTGGCCTTCAGCCATGAGGTACCAGTAGTACTCTGTACGCCCCACAGTTAGGGAAGCCAAAATTATCTCCAGACACTGCTTAATGTCCCCTAAGAGCAAAATTGCCCTGATTAGAAAATACTGCTTTGGTAGAAAATCTTTTTTGTAAAATTCAAATATATATGTGCCAATCTCCACAAATGAAAAGAGTGAAACAGTTTCTACACTGAAAATCTAAAGCATTTTTACACAAAGCAAGAATACTGTGAAGCCATCATCTTGTCAGATCTCTAGCATCAGACAGCTGATACCTCTGCTCTTCCCCTCAACCTCTCCTTTAACTTTTTAAGCACGACAACAGCGCACCGTTGGTTGTGCCTGGCAGTAGCCACGAGGAGGAGCCGGAACTGTTGAGGGAGAATCTGCACACTGGCCATGAGAAAAGAATTTAATCAGCAGGAATTTACAGCTTTCTTTTTAACCTTACCTAAAATATTATTGAACAATTAATACTTAAAGCTGCTTACAAGCACATCTGAGAACATGGCAGGCTAGTAACAGCCTCTTCCCATAAAAAGAATGTTTCATTTCCAGTTAAAAGCTGCCAAACACAGAGTATGTGTTTATTATTCATTCACTTAGCATATGCCCAACATCTTTAAGAAATCAGATATAGTCTAAAAAATATCAAAGATGGTAAGTAACATTTTAACAACTTGATCTTTTCATGTAATATTTTAGCTAACAATCACCACTGTTCAGTTTGTTTACTGACACTGGTAAATAAACACAAAAGTCAAATTCTTTATTACAAATAAAAGCAGAGATGGTATAAAAGATTTTAAAATTTATTCTCAGTTCCACTGCTCACCACTGAAAAGCATGTAGTACAGTCCTCATTCACAACAGGCCCTATATCTCATGTTTGCTGAATCAGTGATTTATGTTAAACTGAGATATGTGAGATATCTCAGTTATGTGAGATAAATCCTATTACAGATAATTGGTCAATCAATCCCCAGAATAAAAATTCAGTACTTACTGCAAAGAAAATATCACCGCAAAGCTGGAAAGTAGGATCATGGGAAGAAGACAATATCCAAGGACACTTGCCACACACCCAAATGAAACACCTGTCATACTCATTAAGTTTAGTAAACAAAACATTCCTAGACATCCAATTGCACTGATCCCATATACATAGCCAAATTGGATTTTGCCAGCCTGTGGGTAAAGAAGAGATTATACATTAAAGGGAAGAAAGGAAATTCTTTTTTGGTCTTATTTCACCTAAAATGGTACATGTAAGAAAATACTCAATTTGTGAGCATCCAAATCTGTATGTAGAGGCAACGATTCTTTATGCAGAATAGTAAAACACAGATTGGCTTTTATCTCTTTCTCAAGAAATTTTAAGTATCTATTTCCCAATACACAATATTTGGTTTTTCATTTTTCAGTTAGTATTTAAGCAATTCAGCAAATAAAGATACAAAATCATGGTACAATCACCTTTAATTAGTAGATTTCTAAAAAGAAATCTAGCTGATTTTAAGCAAATAAACTACAGAGACAAGATGGAAACCCCTGCAGAATGTTTGGACAATATCTAACATCACTTGAAAGCACCTAATACCAACAAAATTGCCCCAAAGCAATTTGTTCTCATTGGTGGATGTAGTCGCAATCTTTGTAATAGCAGAAATAATTTCACCATTCATTTATATGGCTGTTAAAGGAGCTAAGTGAAAGGAAGGCAGGATTAGCAGGACACAGTGGTTCTATGGGGAGGGGAGGAGAAAACTGATTAACATGCAACATAATGGAAGATACATTTTTCTTTCATTATTTTTCCAAATTGTTGGGGGATTTATAAAGTCTTTTGACAAACAAGCAAACAAACAAAAACAACAACAACAAAAGAAAACTTAATTATGCTCTTGTTAAAGACATGACTGAAAAGACTTAAGACAGTATAAGTTAGGTAAATTGCTGTCATAGTACTCTCAGTCAAGATATATGAACAAACATTGTATTTAGGTCATACTGTGATGAAAATCAGTCCACAGAGAAGATTTCAAGAACTTCCTGGTTTGTTAGATTCTGGACATACAAAACACAATTATGAGAATGCCTCTAAAAACTATGTTACATGAAAAAATTCTTGCCATTTTTGTTAGACTCAGTATTTATAAATATGTGAGAGTGTAGAAGTTTCAAAAGGTTCAGCTGAGTTCACCAACGAATTCACTAAAGCAGTAATAATAAAACCTCATACAGCGCTTTAAAATTTTTCAGTGTTCCCACTTAACCTGTCTTGGTTAATCTGTAAACAATCTTGTGAGGTGGGAATCACAAAATTATCTATCAGAGGAAGCCGAAAGATGAAAACAGCTTGCTCCAGGACAGAGCAGGAGCACTGAACTAATGCCCAGATTTCCTGACTAAAAATCCCACCTTCTGGGGCATCTGGGTGGTTCAGTGGGTTAAGCCTCTTCGTTCAGCTCAGGCCATGATCTCAAGGTCCTGGGACCGAGCCCTGCATCAGGCTCTCTGCTCGGTGGGGAGCCTGCTTCCCCTCTCTCTCTGCCTGCCTCTCTGCCTACTTGTGTTCTCTCTCTGTCAAATAAATAAATAAAATCTTTAATAAAAAAAAAAAATCCCATCTTCTATCCATTACATCATTTATCTTTTCTAATTCAGAGACGTAAGATAAAATACAACAATTATCTTTACAACTATTCATTTCCAATATACTTTAACATTCGGAGGCAGGAGATAGGCAGTAAAACATCTTGTCTTTTAATGTTCCAATTCATTAGAAGTTAAAATAATATATAGGAAAGTAACAACCAAAACCACTATAATAACAGAACACTGCACAAAGTCCACAGATTTTAAAAAACAAAAAAAGCTATCATTAAAATATATAAATAAAAGAGCAACAGGCTAAAAAATGTCAATTTCTAAAAATAAGGAATTTTGATGATGGACTAAAGCCACACGTTATTTTTTTCCCCTAATAATTAGACCTTTTCTTCAAACAAAAAATTATTTCTAATTATATAACATTTATTATCAGTGGAGAATTGATGAATGGGTACATAATATTCCAGCAACCTAATACCACTCAAAATACATTCAAGATCTGATATATAAATGGAGTCTCAAAAATGGCTCCTGGTGGGACACTGAGAGACTGTTTTCTAATCTCACACTTAGAGTTCAAACCGAAATCTTACCAGTAACAATGTGGCTCCAAAAGCAAGGCAAAAAACCATCGGTCCTGCCAAATCAGTCTCATTCATGATGCTACCGTCTGCTACTTTTAATGGATGTAACACTGTTAGTGTTTTTTGCCAGATGTGGTCAAAATTGATACCTAATTCTAAAGGAAAAGAAAAAAAAGACAGTCAATTAGGATTTGTGACACACCTTTAGTTTACCAGAATCCATGCGGCAACAGGAGAAAAAATGAAGCACTCATTATCAAAATGAGACTAGCAATATGAGACATTTTGATTAGTCTTCAATACCAGTCTTCACTCACTATGGGGTTTACTCCACAAATATCCTATTTCTGGTTTGGTACTGGAAAAGTATATGGATATGAAAAAAACAAGACATTCTCAGCTATGACTGCATAACAAAGAATATATGGACAGCATTAACAGTAAGGAGTTCTCTACCTGGGGCTTCAGGAATACCTGGAGATGCTATGAAATTGTATATGAAACGATGTTTCTATGCACAGTTGTGCATTTTTTCTAAGAAGAGTATTCATAGCTCTCATTAGACTTTGAAAGGGTATCCAACCCTCCCCCCTCAAAATGTACAGAACTATTGCTTTATGGGTTTTAGAATAGTTTGAAAAATGCCATTCTTTTCAGTGATATTACTGGTTTTGCCAGCTTCTTCCATGTAAAATAATCACTACCATGTTATTTCCTTTCATTTCTTCCACTGACAGAATTTAATCATTAATGTGAAGTCAAAGTCAATGCTCAAATACTAACATAATTATCACTTTATAGAGATCTATTAAAAACTCTGGTCCCCTATGGCTCAATGTGGTTTCATATCTGTTTTTTTCTGTATCATCATTCTTTTAAAGGAAAGGACAAGTTCTCCAAACTAAGATCTATTTTCACTGACCAGATGGACACTACAAAATACTATGAACTGTTGCAACCAATCCTACCTTCTAATAAAGGTGGCTCATCCTCAAAGTTGTTTCCATAGAACGGCTGAGGTGTCGCTGGAGTATATGCCTGAGTAGGCTGAAAAATCTGCCCGGTGTATGGCTGTTGTGGCTGCATCATGTCTGGAGGGACAAATCGGCCTTGCTGCGAGTAGTCATAGCTAGCATACTGTCTGTAAATCAAAGTTACATTTCTCAGAATTATGTCAACGGTGGTATCTCTGAGAGCTACAGAGTCATAGTCGTGCAATTCCCTAGAATAGCTACTTTGCCAGTTTTCATAAATGGTGCTGAAATGATAACTAAGATGATCTGATTATCTACAATGTTAAGCTGTGTTTTTTAGATAATCTTTCTAATGACACCAACACTTAGTGCTTAAGCATTTTACAAACTATGAAACTTTTAAACATTAGGTGGTCAACAAATGAAAACTTAAGAATTTTATCTATTTCTCCCTCTTCAGTAAGTATATGTAATATGAAGATAACCGTGAAATACAATTGATGCCTAAGACTACAAATGAAAACATAACATGACAGACTGTACTACATGCTATGTAATTTTCCACTGTAGTTTGGATCTCCATCGAATGTAATCATTCTTCCTAACTCTTTGTAGTATGTTATTTTTTGCAAGTGGGCAAATCTCTTTACGAACCATGACCACTTTCAAATACATAGGAAAAAATTCAAGCCTCTTTCTGTGAAAGCTTTCTAAATATAACAAAACATTATTGCATTATACACCTTGTATTTGAATAGCACTTTTAAGTTTTCAAAGTAGGTGTACAACTACTGTCTCATTTGATATGTACTATAGTAAATCCTGCATTGTAGAAAAAGAAGCTTTACCAAGGCTATTTTAATGATGAAAACAATAGGGAACAGACGGATGCTGAAGCAGTTATCTTTAAAAACATGTTTTATCAGAGCGCCTGGGTAGCTCAGTGGGTTAAGCCTCTGCCTTCATCTCAGGTCATGATCTCAAGGTCCTGGGATAGAGCCCTGCATCGGGCTCCCTGCTCAGCAAGGAGCCTGCTTCCCTGCTCTCTCTCTCTCTGCCTGCCTCTCTGCCTACTTGTGATCTCTGTCTGTCAAAGAAATAAACAAACTCTTTAAAAAAAAAAAAAAATCTGTTTTATCATGTTCTGGGAAAAAATATGGCTTACCTATCAATGGACTAATCTCATTACATAGTAACAAATACAAAAGTAAAGTAATTATTTTAAAAGATATTTTTGAAAAGAAATGAGAAGCCTTAAAGATCCTTTAGTTTAATCACCTTTAAAAATTTTATAGTTCCCTATTGACAAATATAAAATCTAATGACTGCCATGAATATTGAAATTTTAAAATTAAATCTAATTTTTAAATTAACTGAACATCTTGATTAAAAGCAAATCTAAGTAATAGCAAAATTTCAACTACACACAGCCCTCTGGAGAGCCCAATGGGACTCTGAAGATTTAATTATCACGCTAGTCCAATCCAAGCTTAAAAAAATGCTTTTTATTTTTCTGGCCATATAGTAATACAGACTTTGATGAAACACTATTTTAATAGCAAAAGATAAAAAACAATACAGTTACTAGTAAATATATTGTAAGAGGGGCATAGATTACTACTGTTACAAGGAATGAGGTACTTTTATGTGTACTAATAAGGAATGATAATCAAAAAATATTCAGTGGGCAGAATCGAAAAACACCCAATGTTCAGAACAGTATACACTGTATGTACCACTGTGATGGCACTTTTTAGAATATATCTGTATGCATATATTTGTATACATGTATTTTATATACATGTACAAACATTAAGTACAATACATACAATTACATAGGTTTAGGTATAATGTAATATAGTATAACACATATAATTATATAGGTAAAAGGACCTGGAAGCAGGGGGAAGTGGAAGACTTAATTTTCATATCAAAAACTTCTGCACCTTTAAAAATGTTGTATATTTACTACTTATTAAAATTAATTCATTCTAAAATGTTATATATAACATATAGTTACATATTAACTACTAAAAATTTCCAAAAATACATATAACCTATTTGAACATTACTGTGTCAAGTGTTTAATGTGAATTATATCCTATAACCTCACTACAACTTTAGGAGGTTTATTTTATCATCCTTCCCATCCTAAAGATGTAGAAACTGCTATCTGGGTGAAAATGATTTGCCTGTGGTGGGCCAGGATGCAAAGCTAGACTTTGATTCCAGTGGCTCTTACCAATTATAATAAAAATCACCCCCAAATCCTACCTTATGGTCAGAGCTATAGTATCTTACGTTTCCCCTATCATTTTTATATGCAAATATGTTGATTTCCATTTATTTACACATAGACACACACACACACAAGCAACAGGACTAGATGGCTGAAATGAACTAGGACAAGAATCAGTATTTTTTTATTTAGTATAATATGCTGTTTGGATGATCTGTTAGAATATATCATAATCTACCTCTGAGTTTATGAACCAGCTAGAAAGGCTCCATACAGGAGCCTTCTACAATCTGCATAAACAGACTGTATCTTATTATCTCTCTCTCAAAAAAAGAGACAGACAGGCAGAATATGAATGTGTATGCAACAGGAAAACCGAAAAGAATGAGTGGTTTTCAAACTCTCTGCTCTTAGAATCCCCTTATACACTTAAAATTTATTATTGGGAAACCCAAAGATTTTTTTTTTTATTTATGTGGACTGTATCTGTCATTATTTACCACATTAGAAATTAAAACACAAATGCTTAAAATATTAATTCAAAGTAATAATAAACCAGTTACATATCAGCATAAATTTTTATGAAAAAGTACTATAAAAAATTACTGAGGAAAATGGCACTGCATTATATTTTTGACAATCTCATTAACATCTGGTTTAATAAAAAATACTGTTCGTGGGGCGCCTGGGTGTCTCAGTGGGTTAAAGCCTCTGCCTTCGGCTCAGGTCAGGATCCCAAGGTTCTGGGATCGAGCCCTGCATCGGGCTCTCTGCTCAGCAGGGAGCCTACTACCTCCTCTCTCTCTGCCTACTTCTCTGCCTACTTGTCATCTTTGTCTGTCAAAAAAAAAAAAAAAAATCTTAAAAAGAAAATACTGTTCTTGGGGCACCTGGATGGCTCAGTGGGTTAAAGCCTCTGCTTTCGGCTCAGGTCATGATCCCAGGGTCCTGGGATCAAGCCCCACATGGGCTCTCTGCCCAGCAGGGAGCCTGCTTCCACTTCTCTCTCTATCTGCCTGCCTTTCTGCCTACTTGTGATTTCTGCCTGTCAAATAAATAAATAAAATCTTTAAAAGAAAAAAAAAATACTGTTCTTATCTGTTTTTGTATTCAATTTTAGTTGAAATAGCTGAAGAAAATCTAGTGTTGTAGACAAACAGCTGGAAAACTATTTAACAATCTTTTCAGATTACTCAAAGTGGTAGTTTTTTAAACTTAAGTTGCAACATAGAAAATGGAACAGTACTAATAAACTTTTTATACTAGAATACACTCATCTGTCTTGCCTTATGAATGGATACTTGCTTTACTTATGTATGATTTTTTAACATTCACTGCTTAGAAAATATTAGTGTGGGTGATTCAGCTCTTCCAAACATTGATATGTTTAATAGAAAAACATATATATCAAGTATAAACATAAGAAAATCACCTTTGTTAATGTCACCAATGATTTCATCAGAAAAATGGTTAACTCTGGAAAGGTGAAAAGTTCATAGTAATGGACAGTTTTCCCAAATCCTCATTTTTACCTGAAAATTTGAATTTAACCACTGGCTACACATACTGTCAGTTTTCCTTCTTGAGTAAGAAGCTCAATTATTTCATCTTTGAAAAAATATCTACCCAGTACTCAAGTCTAAATAACCTAGTTTGTCTATCAGGATGTTCTTTCCAATAAAAATGGTTTTCATGGAGAGCAGCTGATACAGCCTATGATTCAAATTGCACAGGGGCTTTTCCTCAAGAGAATCACTGTACTTCAGTATGAACCAGAGGTCCTTTGTGACTTTTCCATTTTGACACAGAGAATATTTTTAATGTGTGGGTACTAAAGGGTCAGGATTTAATAGCAGCATAATTTTTACTGCTTCATCAAGGGGATCCTTTAAAAAAAATTATTTATTTATTTGACATAAAGAGGCACCGCAAGAGAGGGAATACAAGCAGGGGGAGTGGGAAAGGGAGAAGCAGGCTTCCCAATGAACAGGGAGCCCAATGCAGGGCTCGATTCCAGGACCCTGGGATCATGACCCAAGTTGAAGGCAGACACTTAATGACTGAGCCACCCAGTAGCCCCAGATCAAGGGCATCTTCAAATAAACTGGTTCCCTCCACACCCCAGAAAGTGTGTGTTGATGAAGAATACAATGATTACTAGAACAATCTGATACCCTTGTCTGATTCATATTCAGATACTAGCAGTTTTGCCAGTCATTGTTTTTACAACATCAGTACAAATGTCAACACACCTGAAAAGGTAGATAGTGTCTTAATATTGTTATAATAATAATTTTAACCTTAAAGACCCCCTGAACGGTCTCAAGGATCCTCTGGGGTCTGCAGTCCACCCTGTAGAACTGTTCATATAGACTCATGTCATGTAAGGAACAGAACTACTACAAGCAAATGACAGCTTCAAAAGTGGTACCATCATTCCTTCTTTAAGATGCAAGGTGAGAAAAACAACACCATGGAATTTTACTGTTTTCATTTTCTGGAAGGATCTGGTCAGGAAAATTGGTGGCTTGCTCCTGCTGGGTTTAAACTAGAATATAGTGTGGTAGACACAATCTTTAGAGACTAAGTCAACATTGTATTCTATATAGGTTCTTATCAGTTAAGTCAAAGATGAAAAAATACTGGCTTTAAATATTTTAAAAATATTAGTTGGCATTTTATAGGCATATCTAGCATAGAGTGTGGGACCTGTCCAATAGGATAATCATAAAACTCAACAGATTAAGATCAAAGGGCCTTTTACTTTTTGTTGCTGCTGTTGTTGTTATAAGAATATATAAATGATACTTACAAATGAAACCCAATTATTACTGCCAACACATTAAGCTTCCTATTTTCCTAGGCTTCATCTATAAATTCATTATTTGTTAATTGGCAATAATGGGTATATGAGCAACTACAAAAAAAATGTCACCATACTGAAGCAATGGTTATTGGCACATGATCTGGCTGCAATGGAATTGGGAGAGTATTTAGCAAAAGAATATCTAAACAACCTTCCTATGGAAAACTAAAATGAGAGGATGATATCTGGAATGAAAAGATAAGTCACACATTTAAGAGATGCAAACAGAGACAGGACAGGAAAGAAAAGCAGAGATAAATAAACCTAGGAGGCTGTGATCTAAATGTATAGTTCTGCAGGGTCTTATATCATTTAGTTAAAAACAGGACTGTGTACAGAGACAGGTATTTCAAAGCCCTTTGCACTCTGGCCAATCTTCCATTCATTTTCCTCTCATACATAGATTAAAACAAACAAAAAACATTCTTAAGTAAATAAATGAATGGAGATTTCGCAACAAGATTTCTCCAATTCTGCCCAATTAACTGTTCAAAGAAGATAAATCCCTGACGGCATGTAAGAAAATTTAACTGAAGGAAAAAACCGATTTATAGTATTTTTCACATGCTCACTCCCACTGTTCAATGTGTTAGGTTTTAGGGGGGAAAAGGGCTTAGAATATATCAAATTAAGCAGACTCAAAGGGTCAAAAGGTATAAAAAAATGCAACTTATATAAGACAGACCATACTGAAGACTGAATTTGATTTTTGCTTTGCTTTTTAAATTCTTAGGCACTTTCACTCAGATTTATTTATTCAAACATGTTCTACTACTACATGTTTCTCTCAGATTGATTCAAAACAAAACCTTCCCACGCCCTCATCCTGGGAGACTTTCATGAGGTTTTTAATTCAGGGTTCATAGACGAACATCAGAAGGCACATCAACTGTGCAGTAATATGGATATTTATGTGGGCATTTGAGTGTGCACATTTACATCTCAGAAGGAGGTCCCTCATTTTTGTAAGATTCCAGAAGGGGTCCTGGACCATCTAAAAAAGGTTAAGCCATCCTGCTATTGGAAATGACTGATAAAATTATCTTTAAGGGCCTGAGAAACGAAAAATATTATGTCCTAGAGGAGACTGGTGGATAGCGTCAGCTAATGTATTTCTGCCACTACCACCAGGGACTATTACAAAATCTTGTTTTGTTTTGTTTTGTTCTTAACAGTTCAGGGCTGAAAGGTTTTGAGTTCCCCTCTGGCAGGGACTGTCAGCAACTGGCAACTTGTGTGTACTGCCCATAAGGTTTCAATATGAGCAGTAATAAAGATGATTATCACTTGCTATTAAAAAAAAAAATCACCTGATGATTCATAACAGGGAGCTAACACTGCTGAACAGTGTCACTACGCCCTTTGAATTAACATTGGTAAGGTCTGAAATTTGGATTAACTCTTAAACTAGCCATCACAAGATTTCAAATTTTTAACTGGTTCTATAGATGACATCGCTTAGGTTATCTTCTAGATACTTGAAGCTAATATCCCTATCTTAAATGATGCAGAAACACTATTACTAGGAAACAGTACTTTAACAATCTACTTTTGCACTCAGGGCACACCTGAAGATACCAAACTCTAAATAGGGCAATTCTGTCAAACCCAAACCACTGTCACAGATCTTTCGAGAGGAGGGAAGATTATGAAAAATCACATTCCTGACAAGGGACATGGTGACACATTCAGTTTTAGGCAGAACCAAACAATAAGGATACAGGCTTTCATTCAGTCTGGGCTACATATTGTCAAAGTTGACAAGTTACTTGCTATAGGGTCCTCCACTTCCTCCATAGTCATAGGACGGCTGTGACTGGTCATCGATGCTGTAACTTGTCTGGTAGAAATCCGTATTTAAGTTATCAAACCCTGCCATTGCAAATAATCTGAAAAAGAAAAAAAAAATGGCAGAAAGTGTTTACACACCTAAGGTCCTACTGAATTCGTTTCGGTACAAAGCAAAAAGCCTCAAAAGGCACTAAATTATTTCTTCTGTAATAGGGGAAAGGCATTCGGAGGACAGATCCAGGTGGGAGTTGCACAGGATCTCCACGAGCCGAAAAAACACCTCCACTTCACCGAGCTGATATGCCACGGTTAGAGGAAGGGGCGTGGGAGAACTGGTTCCACGGAGGTCTAAAATATCAACAAAGACGATTCCTCACCTCAGGGCAGACTGCCGCTGACAGTGCGACTGTCTCCTTGCAAAATAAGGCCTGGGCCTTCCGGGAAAGGGCAGACTCCTGGAAGGCCGCGCCTGAGGTACAGGGGTCGCGTCAAAGCAAGGGCTTGAAAGGGAGTGAGGGTCTGAGCGAAAGGACCGCCGAACCAAGCCGCGCTGCACTAGACTGAAGAGAAGCCGAACAGTGCGCCACAAGCCCGGGACACTCACCAAACGGGGAAGCGGCGGTAACGGCGTCAGCAGGTCCAGCAACCCCCCAAAACCCCTTAATAACGCTTAAGACCCTGAACGGACTCCGTTGCTACGTGTCACAGGGCCAAAGAACTGCTTCCGGGGCGCACCCGTTCGCGCAGGCGTGTTGGCAGATTTGTGCCCCTCCAGGGCGGACACGGGGCGGAGCCGGGGCAGAGGAAACCTGCTGTGGAGCATGCGCAGTATCGACGAACTCAGTCCAGTGGCGGGCCAATGAGAAGAAGGAAAATACTTCCAGTAGCCTAGTTCGCGATAGAGGCAGGAAAGCGCAGGCGCAGCAATTGTTGGTAACTATTTAGAGAAGGGAAAAATCGTTTGCAGACGGGAGGCGTGGAGGAGTTCGTGCAAGCGCTGGTACTGAGCGGTTAGAGCCTGTCTTGTGTACACAAACTACAGAGCGTCGGTCTCTCTGGATTCAGTGTGATCTAGACACAGTGTTACAAGTTTATGTGTATTATTTACTCCTTACAACCTAATGAGATGATTACTTTATTACTCTCATTTTGTAAGTGAGGCTGTTAAATGTTCATTTAATAATTGAACGCGGTGATAAAGGACAACTCACCTCGCTGTACTAGCTGTTGGGGCTCCTATGATGAATGCAAACTAAATGGTACGGCTCACCTGCGATTCTTTGGGGGTGGGGTTATCAAACACATAAAAGTATACATAAAACTGTAACTAATATTCTCAAGTCCTACGTAATTCTTTGAAAGAGTGTAATATTTATCGGGGGCGGAAAATCCGGAAAGCCACTGCGAAAAGGTGATGATCAAAGTGATGAGGGAGCAGGAGGCTGGCTGAAGACAAAGCAAAAGCTGTCACCTTGCACCTCCTCTCCACCCACTCCCCTCGGTAATGTGGGTGACATTCCTCAGGCACCCCTGACTTCCATAAACGATAAACAAATAGTTAACTCGTAGAGATCACAATCCTGCCAGACAGTCTCCCTTGGTTTACAAATGTCCTAGAGATCTAGGAACAAAGAAGTTACCTTATCAATAGCACAATTTCCAGAGGTAAATAATTCAGTTCCTCAAGCCCTAATGTCTCCCTCCCCACCATAAATAAAACTGAAGGAGGCTGAGGTAGAAGGGAATGTAAATATAGTTAAATCTCTTCTAAACCTAAATCTCACTAACAAAGACAGATTGATAGCAGGATTGTGACAGCCCACCAAGAATCTCCCAATTATCTTGATGTTAATGGCGGGCCTAAAGACAACACTGATCAAGCGACAAGGCCAAGGCCTCGCGTATCCCAGCACTTTGTAGGCCCTCTTTAGCATATGAAATTTCCATTGAAACCTCCCTTCCCCTCCCCTTCCCCCAACCGCCAGGTACATAACCTGCCATCCCTCACAACCCTGGGCAGCAGCTCTTTCTGCCCACCGGCCCTGTCCCCGTGCTTTAATAAACCACCATTTTGCACCAAAGATGTCTCAAGAATTCTTTCTTGGTCATCGGCTCCGGACCTCAGCCCACCGAACCTCACCTAGGTTCTAGAACTTCATGAAAAGGGTGAAAAGGAATTTATTAAAGAAAAGGGGAAAGAGAGGAGGGGAAAAGCGTGAATATTTCAGGCAGTGGGAATAGTGTGTGCAAGGCCTGGGATTAAGGAAAACATGGTGTCAGAAAAGGTGTAGATAAGGGTTCTTCAACCTTTGCCTATTAACATTTTGATCTAAATGATTCTGGCGGGGCAGGAGACAGAGGATGCTGCCTTATTAGCTGTAAGATGTTTAGCAAATCCCTGACCTGTACCAACCAGATGCCAGTAGCACAGCCCCGCATTCCCACTGCCACCTTGTGACAACTAGAAATGTCTCTTGGATAAAATCAGACTTTGGAAATAACTGGTTTCAATGAAGCCAGGATGTTTGGAGAGACAATGGAGGAGAGCCACATAGGAGTTGAGGCTAGGGCTACAGGTAAGGACCAGGAACAGAGTGTCTTGTGGGATTCTTGTTTCGGTTCTAAAAGACAAAGCAGAACCACTGAAGGTTATGAACTGAAGAGCGGCATCAGTAGATTCTTTCCTTTTAATTGTTCTGGCTTCTGTGTTAAACCACGGAGTGTTAAATCACTTTCTGAAAGTACAGGAATCCTAACTCTGAATGCCATGGTATTAGCCAATGCGCAGAACTGTCTTCAGAGCTTATAGTATTAAAATTTATACCATGAGCCCTTGCATTATATGCTGGCCCCCAAATCCCATGGTCTTTACAAAAGAAACCAGGCCATTGCTCTGGGACCAGTTTCCAAAGGAATGATAAAATTTCACTGGTTAAAAGGTTTTTTTCAGCTTATACACTATAATGAAACAAATAAAACCAACCAATTAACAAAATTCCACACTCCCCTCCAAACAAAAACAGTAATAGGAAAAGGACATAACAAACTGAAGAACCAATGAGTATACTCTTGAGATGACTGGGCAGCTAATTTCCTCAGGAAATTTCTGAAATAGCTCATCAAATAATTCAATTTACCAACTTTTATAAATCATTTTAGAATTTACTGATGTAGGTACCATCTGAACAACTCTTGGGAGAATGACCATGTATTCAGATTTGCTGGAGCCAGCCACATTGTCCCTTTTTGACAGACAGAGATTACAAGTAGGCAGAGAGGCAGGCAGAGAGCAGAGAGCTCTGCTGAGCAGAGAGCCGGATGCGGGGCTCGACCTGAGCAGAAGGAAGAGGCTTTAAACCAATGAGCCACCCAGGCGCCCCCACATTGTCCCTTTTTATGTCTGTTTTCTCCAGCATAATTATTAATATTGTCCCCTTTTTGCTATCAAAAATATCCTAGTTTGACAAATTATATGGTTATACTCTCTAAGACGTATTACCTATGAAGCTGAGATTCTAGTTATTGATATGCAATAATCTATTCATCTACTTAGTGATCTTATGGTGAAAAAAGAAAATTTGAGTCTCTTGTTTCTTCTCAAGTTTCCATTTCTTCCCATCAAAAGAGATACTACTCTCAATTTTTTTTTAAGATTTTATTTATTTATTCGGCAGACAGAGATCACAAGTAGGCAGAGAGGCAGGCAGAGAGAGAGGGGGAAGCAGGCTTCCTGCTGAGCAGAGAGCCTGATGTAGGGCTCAATCCCAGGACTCTGGGACCATCACCTGAGCTGAAGGCAGAGGCTTTAACCCACTGAGCCACCCAGGCGCCCCTCAGAATTATTTTTAAAGATTTTATTTATTCATTTGACAGAGGGAGAGAGATCACAAGCAGGCAAAGAGGCAGGCAAAGAGAGGAGGGGAAGTAGGCTCCCCGCTGAGCAGAGAGCTGCTTGATCCCAGGACCCTGAGATCATGACCTGAGCCAAAGGCAGAGGCTTAAACCCACCCAGGCGTCCCACTACTCTCAAATTTAAACAAGATATAAGATTATGAGCATAAAATATTACCTGCTTAGGAATGAATTGTTAGATGTAGATGTTATTGAAATTCTGCTTCTATCTGTGAAAACAATGACCCTGTTTACTGGATTTCCTTCTTCGCTAACCCTTGTCCCACTTGATAATGTTGCAGGGTTGCAGGGTTCTTGTCTCATGGACCTGAAGAATGAATCTCACAGACACAAAAGAGTGAAATGAAGTGAAAGTTTATTAAGCAAAGGTGAGAACAGAAAGAGCAGAAAAAGAAGCTCTGTAGAGGAGGAGGGGTCCCAAATGGGTTGTCACTGGGGGCTTAGTGTTCCCTTCCCTCTGGTTAATATCTTGTCTATAACATTTCTCCACATCTGGGATTTTGTGAGTCATGTACCCCTTTGCATGAGCCTAGTCACATAGCCCCCCTACCTGTCTCTCCCTACCTAGCCTCACCTGTCCCTTACTCAGTAAGACAAGCAAAAAAAGTGAAGTTACATGATGAAATCTTCCACATTGTTTGACTTTGAAGTATAAACCATCCTGCAGAGGACCTTGGAAAATAACAGTCAATTTTGTGGCTAGTCAGGTAGACCTCTCTTTTGGGAGGAAAAAGTGTTTTTTTTTTCTTTTGGTGTCGCATCCCCCCACTTCAGGACAGTCTTCGGAGAGTTATATTAAAGCAAACTGCAGTACTTGGCAACTGTGCTGACCTCTGTTAAAGTCACTGAATTGTATTCATTAGGAGGAGAAAGCCTTAACCAAGTCAAGAGTTGACAGAACATGAAGTGGGCTTGTAACAGTGGCTCAGTCATCCCTGGGACTTAATATGTCAGTTACCAAACTTGTAACCAAAATAATAATAATAATAATAATAATAACAACAACAACAATAACATTCTAATTATGAGTGGTATCTTATAATTAGTTTGACAGTCATGCTAGAATACACAGTAACACTTTTACATACTTCATAAACACAGAAAACTTCTTTTTTTTTTAGGATTTCAGTGAAATTGTGCTTAGATTTTAGAGTTAGCTTCTTTCCCCTCTGTTTTATACTAAATATGTCATGGGGAATTTTGTCAGAAAATTCTGGTTTGAGCATGGGTAGTTTCCCCTACTCTCAGCTATATCCACAAGCACCAAATGAGGTGGGGATTTGACAGCTGTGTACTTATCATGTTAAGTTGCATAATGAAACCTAATGATTGTGGTGAAAACCAATGTAAATGCCCAAGATCTATTTTCATTATCCCTGAATATTAATGATATAACTCCATTTCCCAAATATGACAATTATATTTCCTCCAAATTATCCTTTATCCCTTAGAAATGAGTTTCCTCCTCAAATTCTGCTTCTGTTATTTCAATTATTTTACTTGGAACAATAAATTACTATCTTGGGAAGTCAGATTTGCCTGGAACAACACTGGATGCTTTCAGACAAATTGGGTTTTTAAAAGGCAAAGACATTTAACCCCATTTTAGCATTTATTCTTGGGATTTTGACGTGAATATTCCAAGTGCCTCATGCTGTAAGAAAACAAAAACAAAAACAAAAACAAAACCAACAACGGGGTTTTTAAAGATACTTTTTGAAGCCATGCTGTATTTTTATTGTAGAGATCCGACAACCTCTCAAATAGCAAATCAAGCATTTCTAATATTAGGCGAATGGATATTGTGGTTTGGAGTAAGAACTCCAGTGGCAG